GTAAAGGAATATACAATTTGGGCAAAGTTCACCCAAGTTAGTAGCCCAAATAAAGTACAGTAAACTAAATAAGCAGCTTCTAAAAAATATATATTTTGATGCTTAGAACTGCCTACTTAAAACTTGACTCACAATAAACAATATTTTCTTAAAGGAATAGAAAATGCTACAAAGTCTCAGGATATTTTAACAGTCATAATATTTCATCACCAATCGATAGATCAGATTTTAATATAGTGAAAGTCAAATAAGAACATTTGTTAAATTCTGAATATTTTAATATTTATATTATTTTCACAAGGCAATCTGTTTAATATCTGCAATGAAAAAAGCGTTAATTTCATGTCTATATGAGCAGAAATCTATCATTAACCCATCAGCTCAACGGCTACGGGTAGACCACAGAGATGTGTGTGCATCTGTGATTGAGGAGCTTTGAACTGGATGCATGAGAAGGCCGCAAATGAAAATGATATTCATCAATCATACGCCGCGTGGTACAACGTGTGCGGCTCTCAGCTCATTTGCGCATATAATTATTTTAACAATTTGCTGTCAGCAGCAAATTATCATTATCATTTAATCATCGTTGTTGAGAGCCGCAGCACAATGGGCAGAGAGCTGAGAGGAGAGCGTGTTAAAATGACAGAGTTAAGCTAGCGCACTTAGCGACTTTTGCCTGTACTTTATAGTGGGGACGGCGCATTAAAAGTTTTCAACAGCTCGTCTCGGCAAGGACATGGCAAGGACAACAAGAACAACACGAGCAACATGCACTCCAGTCAAGGCGAGACATGTGCGACAGCTTTTATTGACGATAATGATGACTTGGCACTTGGCACTTGCCACTTGCCACTTGCCACATGCCGCATGCCGCATGCCGCATGCCACTACGACGCAAGACGTCAGACAGCAATGCCCTCTTGCCTGTTAGCCCGCTCCTGTATCACGCTTTATTGCTGCGTGTCAGCTGCATGCAAAACTCATTAAACTTATTTTACTTTCTGCTGAGAGCACGTGACAGATTTACACAAGCAATGTGTCCTCGCCTCCTGCTCTTTCTCATTCCCTTATGCTAGCTGTCACAAATTGCAGTCAATATATCAATACGCTCGCATCCATTGCCATTGCAATATGCACCTTAATTATTTCAGCTGTGCCAAATAGCGCACAAAGGACGGCGACACTCAAAGCGTGGTCATTGTCCTGCTATACTCTCCCTCTCCCCCCTCTATCTATCTATTTGTCTCGTCACGCTCGACTGAACTCTCAGCCCCTCTGCTGCCTCGGCGGTTGACCACGCCATTAACGTTCCACAAAAAGTTGCAACAAACTGCGAGCCACATTGCACCCAGCCATGTACGAAATGCATCCAACACTCTAATAAATGTGTATGCGTGTATGTATTTGTGTGTCTGCATGTGTCTGTATTGCAGCCAACTTTAAGTAAATATTTTGAAATTGGCCATGTCCTGCGCTGACCACAGCCCAACGCGTTCCACGCGAGTTCTGTGAACAGTTGCGCCGGAGCTAAGTGAAAGATGCCATTACAGTCACTTCCTTCCGGGCTTTGGCTTCCTTATTCCTGCCATTTTCTGCTGATATGAGATATGAAAAATGTACGTGGCAGAAAACTGTGAAGTTGAGCTGATATTTAAATACGTTTGAAAAAATTAAATTTAAATAAATTTGTGTTTAAATTCAAATCTAGCATTTCATTTATTTCTGCTATTAAGTATTTCTTACCATTATTAAAATATATAATATATAAAATATATTTATAAAATACGTTTACTAAAATTTGTAAAAAAAAGTTTATTATGAAAAAATATTGCATTTTTTATTTAAAATGATTTTGTAATGCGCGTCTTTTGTTATTTATTTATTTCAATAATATATAAAAAACATATTTTAACTGTGTACAACATTTAATACCAAATTATTATTTTAGGAAAACTGTAAATTTTCCATCTTTCTTTCTCTCTCTCTATCTCGCTATATATAGAGAGAGGCTTTTAGTTTAATAAATATTTTAATTTAACTTAAATTACCTGGCATAGAATTAGTGCGCGATATAACATGAAAGTCTCCCTGAAGCTTAGCTAAAATCAAAATGTTTAATTTTGTATCAATTGAATATGAATAGGTTATTGTTAACAACAGCTTATATACTTATTACATAGTCATTAAATTCTTTATAATCTGTGGAGCTCTATGATCACATAAACAAAGATGTGCTAGTCCGATGGTATTATTCAAATGGACCTAATAATGTAAAATGAGTTGGGCAGCATTTTTGATTTGAGCAGGATTATTTAATATTTTCAGTAAATACAGGGATGAACCTGGCAACCCTGCCCACAGTGCTCGCCAGCTGTTGCAGCGCCCTCCTCTCATCGTCTGCCAATGGCCAAAACTTTTACTGTGCAAATTCGAAACCAGCCGCTACAAAATGCTGCTCAACTTTTCGAGCGAAAACAAATAATTTTACTAACTAAGTACAACATGTTATAGTATGTATATAAGTATATATGTTTATGGGCATGCCTATATACACATAGTGTGTGGAGGGGTCAAACAAATGCAGTTGCTGAAAGTTCGTAAAAAGTTTTGCCCCATTTTATTTTATTCTTTTTTTGTTGGCTTCACTCTGTCGTTCGTTAGCTGTTTAGTTGCATTGTATTCTGTTTTGGCCAAGCAAAAAGTGTGTGCTTCGAAAAGTATTATTTAATCAACACATTGTTAATTCCACTGATTTTTCTGCACCGTCTTCTTGCTCCGCTCATTGCAGCCGTGCGACGGGCCAAATTTGTGACGCAGCCGCTGGCACCAGAAGTCAATGCGCTGCTGTGTGGGGGATCGAGTGATTTATCCTGCAGGCATGATTTATTGCCGCATGCATTATCTGGAGCAGCCGCTGCAACAACAGCAGCAGCAACATCAACAGCAACAGCAACAGCAGCAACAGGCGCTGCATTGTTAACCTACACGGCAGCAACAAGCAGCCCGCAGCTGTCAGGCGGCATTAAGCCAACAGCAGCAGCAAATGCAACAATGGCCGATAACAGTTTTATGGCCGCAGGTGTCTGTGGCGTTGGAGTCAGTGCAACAGCAGCAGCGGCAACAGCAACAACATCTCCAGCAACAGCAGCAACAGCAACATCAACGACAGCAACAACTACAGCAGCAGCAACATTGTCGGCGCTGCTGAGCTCAGCTGGCAATGTGGACATTATGGAAGACGAAGATGAGCTGGAGCGAGAACGTACCAGGTATGTACGTGTGTGTGTGTGTGTGTGTGTGTGTGTGTGCTTATGCTATTCAAGAGGCGAACTTTCCTTTACAAATGAGGCTGTGCGGCGTGTTGTTGGTCTTGTTAAGTAGAGACGCTTCAATTGGTCAGTTGACGTTGGCGGTAGACCCTAATGGCTGCAGCCTTTACCACAATCCAGTTATACATAGTTAGGCAGTTGGCAACGACAGTTACAATAGAGCTCTGCTACGAGTTGTATTTGCGGCCTGTAAAGCGTTTCGTCAGTATTTCAAATTATATTCAAATAATTTTAATTTACTTCATCAAGAATATTTCATTTAAATATATTTCTGTATATAATTCTATTATGTCACAGAGGCTCACTAAAAACTAATTTTAAAGTGGCATGTATTTAATTCTTTTTTGAAATTATATTTTAAAGCAAATTTCCAAAAACTTTAGTTTAAATTAGGCAGTTTTTTTTTTTTACTTTAAAAACTATTCAAAAAGATTTTTAAAACTCATATCAAAGCATATTAATTGGAAGTACTTTTATCAATCCGATTTGAAATATCTTAAACTGCTGAAAGCTTTAAAATCTTTTAAATCCAAATTGGTCTTAGCTTTGATTTCACAATTTCTATATAGAGTTAAGAGCTTTCAAAAGTTTCCCTTTCTATTTTTGTCACTGCAGAGTATAAATAAATAAAAAAAAAAAAAGAAGCTGATACTATTATTTGATATACAAACTTTCTGCACGTCGACGATGCTTTAAATCAACACTTCAAGGTTTCCGCTTGCATATTGCATCGGACACTTGGCAGCCAAGCCAAACATTTGCGGCGGCGTCAGTGGCCCTGCCCGAATTTCACGATTTTCGTTGCGTTCGTAGCCGGGTTTTTCTCTTATTTGTTTTTCTTTTTCACTGAGATACATTTTGAGCATTTTATTTAATAAAATCCAGCAGATGGTAATTAATTTTGACAGTGAACCTGTGCACGCGCCGCTGGCGCCATCTGGCGGTAGGCGGTAGACGGCAGACGGCAGGCGGCAGGCGGCGCGTACTTCGCATGCTTCTTCAATTTCAACTGCGCACTCTGTGAGTGTGTGTGTGCGTGTTTTTCGAGTGTTTGTCTATGGTTGTGTGTGTGCGCGCGTAATTAATTGTAAGCCGAGCTGCGAACTGAATCAGGTCAATTAATTTCATGCGAATTGTGTGGCTCAACCTCAATCTACTGTGCGGCTTCTCCCCAGGCTATCCTCTTGGTTGCTCCGCTGCTTAAATTTACAGAAAATATGAGCTTTAAGTCTAACTCACTTGTCGACATGGCAGCACCGGGCGTCCTAAATCAAAACAGTTGACTAGCCTAAAGGCCTTGTTTTTTTCTTTCCTTCTTCCTTTTTCTCTCTCTCTATCTCTATCTCCACTTCGCTCTCAAGTGTTCTGTTGCTTGTAGTTTACCGAGCTGCCGGCCAATCGCACATTAAGTGCAAGTCGAAGTGGCTGACATCCGGCCAGGCTCGACCATACTGAACAAGCCTGGTCCAGTCTAGCTGCCACTGCTGCTCATTGCCACAGACAAGTTCAATAAACGTACCGCAAATTGATTTGACCAAGCACACTTGTCAGCCGCACTCGAGTGCAACTCAAGTGGACTCTCCCCCCGCCAGCTGCAATGTGCATTTGAATTAGTATTTGAGCTCTTATATTCTTAGATATAGCTACATTCTTTATAAGTGGCGGTGATTTGCTTAGCTTACGATCGCAATCAGCATATTATATTTATTTATTATTTATTATTATTAGCCACTCAAATTAATGCAAATATTAAATTTTGACATGGGTTTCGACTTGCCTTGCTTCCTTCATAATGGCCTGCCAATTGAAAGAAATTTGGAAGTTTAGGGGTTCTCAAATTTATTCAAGTCTGTACCTGAGCATCTCTCATTTAAGACTCCGATAAAGACCTGCCCAAAAGTAGGCCATTTTATATTTCTACCAGTCAGCTTTGATAAACCCCTTTAATTCCTCAATTGAGCACAAATACCCCTGTCATATTTTAAGTGCCAATACCATTCGGAGGAACTGTTCATAGTTTATGGTAATGACACCCTTCATATCAGTATCGTGTGACTTGAACAAAGTTGTCAGCGTGTGCAGCACAATGCAACATTGTATGAAGTCGTCAAATAGAATATTTCCCCGGCCGAATCGATCGAATTTGTGTAATAGGATTTCAATTAGACGATCTGTTAGGCGATATCCAAATGTGCTGAGCGCACTTTTCAGTTCTTGCCTATCGATATAGCCGGAATTGTCGGTATCAAATGAGCGAAAACAATGTTGCCAATCGGTCACGTACTTCCACAATGCTCCAAAGTCCCGAAAGGAAACTGTGCCTCGGTACTCGTGATCGAACATGCCAATAATCAGTCGCACTGTTTCTGGATTGAAGGCCGACCAAGTGCCATTCGAAAGCGCCACCTGCAGTTCATCGGCGGAAATAAAGCCGCTCTTGTTCTTGTCAATGCGCTGAAATACATCCCACAGAAACTTGTCATCAGGCATGCTGTTGGACTGGGCCATCTTGAGGATCTTTAAGAAAAATTGAATTGATTTAGATTGAAGTAAATATACATATCTCTCTTTATATACCTCTGGATTCTATTTTGATTAAATTTTAGTTGTCACTTTGATATTTATTTAGGTTTTCAGCTAATTGGGAAACTGTTTATGGGATAATCAATCAAAAGTTTTACATACTGTGGCATCAATTTTGGTCTCAGTCAAAATAACGTTCTTGGCCAGCTTTGATTTCATGATAAAAATAAGTCTATGGAAAAGGCAAGGAGTTAAGCTCATACCTTTAAGGCAGATAAATAAACGGATGAAAAATGAAAATTTTAAAAGCAGAGCGCTCTAAAAATAACTGTATTCTTATTTTGTTTGATGTTAGTCAGCTTATAGGTTAAAGCAAGTTCAAAGAATAGACTAAGCCTTAAGGCTAATAACTGACCAAAAACAGTTATTATCAATAACCGTTTGGGTCGCGGCACATTTTGGGTAACAACCACGCCTACTGTGCCGCCCACTTGTTCATGAATACATTCATGCCCTTTCGCAATCCAATTAAATCTTGCTTAAAGTCGTCTAGTAGCTAAATCACTTGGCCAACTAGGCGTATGCGCAATATAACAGAACGCATACGCCACATATAACACGCCAACTGGTTGTTTTTATGACTTATTGATTGGCCACTGACCGCATGGCGAACGTGCCTGGGCATTATTCTTTTTATGGCCTGTGTCTGTTTGTTTTTGGTGTTTTGACTGCTTTAATTGACGCCGTTTTATAACCAAGTGCTGCGTAAATATTTATTAAAGCCTCGGCTACCCCACTTACGTACGTCTTTTATCGCCTCTCTTTCACAGCAATTGCCCGCATGGCACACCGTCTCGTGTGCCGTTGATAGCGAGTTCCGGCTGCGGCCCGTTGACTCTGCCCCACGAGCTGCCGCTGGCGGAGAAGCCGGGCGCCGGCTATCAGGCGCGCGGCCTGCTAAATGCGACGGCGGCCAGCTTCAATCGCCACACGCTGCAGCCGCTGAATCGCAAGACTCTGATGCTGACGCGCCGCTGCCAGAAGCACGCGACGGCGCTTTACGATGCCACCGCCAACACGGAGACCTCCGAGGACGAGGAGTACATGCAGCACGGCAGCGAGCAGTTCGTGTTGAAGAAGCTTAAGCACAGCCGTCGCAATGGCTCCCACGAGTGCGCACCACGAGAGCACCAGCACCAGCTCCAGCTCCAGCAGCAGCACTTGGAGGACGATGACGATGATGATGATTATAATGAGGAGGCGCAGCGACAGGTGCCCATTAGCCTGGTGCTCTTTATACTGATGTGCTATATATGCGTGGGCACCGTTATCTTCGCGCTGTGGGAGAACTGGTCACTGGTGGATGGTGCGTACTTCTGCTTTGTCACGCTCTCGACAATTGGCTACGGCGACTTTGTGCCGGCGCGCACCTTTAATGGACCCGAGCTGCAGCTGTACGCCTGCTGTGCCTATCTGCTGCTGGGCCTCGTCCTGGTGGCCATGTCCTTCAGCATACTGGAGACTCAGCTCATGTGGAAGTGCAAACGCATCGCCGTGCGACTGAAGCTAACCAGCGATTGATCCAGCTGCGCCATCTCCCATGTTGTGTATATGTGTATGTGTGACCAGGACACGCTCCTATTAGACATAGTTGTTAGTGCTAAATGTATTCAATATATGCTAATGCATGCTTAATCAGCTGTATAATACATAGTCTAAATACATATAAACAGACAGCGGCACGTGAGTCTCTCGTCTGCTCTACTCGTAAAACTGAAACGTGTAAATAAAACGAACTTTTGCAAATTTATGAAATATTTTCAATGCAAGCGCTGGCCACTTTTAACAGGCTCATCGTTACCATATGACGAAGATGATGATCATTATATTCGGTAATTTGATAGATTTCTGGGTACGTGAGTGGCATGCATAGATGTCCTCAATTTCTCTAGTTGACAACGAGTGTCAAGCTGTGTGTGGGCGTGTGAGTGTGTGTAGTGTAAAGATTGTTTGTCAGTGCTGCCATACGAAAGGACATGACTGCTAATAGTTTATGACATATTCGTGTAGCATATTTATGGCCGCCCGTTGCCTAGCCTCATCCTGCCTTCAACGCAATTGGCAATGAAATATGCTTTTGGGCAGACGCTGAGGGCGAATTGCGTAAGTGCCAACAGGCTGGACATTGGGACATTGTTTGACTGCCCGAAGTAGCTATCATATTGTGAATGCCAGCTGTGACTGTTTTATTGTGAATTGAAACACTGGAATGATGTTGGCAGGCCGAATCCTTAAAGCTTCACACATGCAAATAGTCAAGGTAAACAACTCTAATACTTACATGTTTTTTTTTTTTTTTTTTTTTTTTTTAATTTTACTTTTTCAATCAGTGCGGATATTAGAAATGAAATTGTATATGGGAAAAATTATATGAAAATAGCTTTTAATTTTAATTAATTTATTTTTTTTTTTTATTTTGAGGTGCATAATAATAATTATATATATACATGTATGTATATACCCTGAACCCGTTGAATCGGGAAATCAGCCAGAGGTCATAGCAGACCACATATATATTCTTTATCAAATCGGCGAGTTGAGCTTATTTATTCCTGCTCTTCCGCCCGAATGTGCTCTAATTATTTCTTCTCAGAATTTTGTTTAATAATATCTTCCAAGTAATTTTTCCAAGTATCTAAATATTTCTTCCAATTATTTTTTTAAAGCATTTCCTCTAATTATTTCTTCTAAATATTTCTTTAAATTTTTATTTTTTATTTATTTCTGTTACCTATTTACTTTAAGTATTTTCTTTACGAATTACCTCTGTTCTTTAAGTATTTAGTCTACGTATTTCCACCACGTCTTTAATGCTTAGCTGAACGATCACACACTTCCTTTCACTTTACTGCACTGCACGACTGACCGACCAGGCCTGGGCGACTGAAGAAATGCTGGATCTGCTGCCCTTTATATTGGGCTGCCCTTTATATGTTGAGTCTAACGTCAGGTAAAGGTCGTTGCAGTCGAGCTTTAAGTGACTCCCTGCTGCTGCAAGCATTCTAACTTAGTCTTACGCAAATATAAATACCAACTGAGGACTGATACATAAATATAAAAAACTTAAACGATCTTTTGCAGTTCTGCAGACTCTGAGATAAAACAGAGAGACAGACAGAGAGACGTATATACAGACTGTCATACGAACAGATATATAGGCAAACAAACACGTATCGCTAAGTCGGATTACCTCATTACGCTGCTCAAGAATATATACATATAAGTATGTATATGCTTGATATTCTAAGCTAGCTTATTTATATTATTAATATTTATAAATATTAGATGGCATCGATAGCAGATTTTTCTCTTAAGTTCTCCTAAGGAGTGGGACTTATGCATAGACAGTCTCAATTTCTTGTTATTCATCCCATACTCATTTTCAATGGATGTATTATCAATAGGCGAGCTCTAGTCTGAAATAGGCTGACAACACTGATTGCACCCTTATGCATGTGCGTGTATGAGTATGTGAATGAGCTGTTTTTTTTTTTTTTTTTTTTTTTTTTTTTTTTTGCAACCAAGAAAGAAGCGAAAACTTATTTCAAGGGATTTCGTATTCGAGCATTATTATTAGTTTTTTATTTACTTCAAGTTTAGAAAGTAGTCACAGCCTGTCGTTTCCAATTATATTCTAATGTCTTATAAGTTTACATTAGTGCGTGTAAAGGAACTCGTATTTGTCTTAATTTATTCCAGGAACTTACCTATCTGGCTTCATTTTCTTGTTTTATTTATTTATTTATTTTTTTTTTATTTTTTTATTTCTTGTTTCTCGGCGCGTGCTCAAAATACCTGCGTTTATCCCCTACTGACAGAGCGAATCAGCTAAAAGCTTCAAATTTCATGCAGAACATACAGACACACATACACACACAAACACACATTCTGTGGCATCCACTTGGACTCTTCGTCATGTTTGCCGTGGCATTGGGCGCATACAAAGTGTGTTTAGAGTAGCGCATAAATTTCAAAAGTGCCACGCGTCATCAAAATCAAATGCCAGGCACAGGAAAAAACCCAGCCAAAAAATAAACGTACGTATATATATATGTGTGTGTATGGGGAATACCCCTACCACTGAGCTCAACTGTGTTTGCAGCTTGTCAGCGACAAAGGCAACAAGATGTATCGCAAAATCAATTGATATGACATCAAATTGAATTTGTAATTTCCCTGCCCACCTCCTCGTCTCCTTGTTTCGCTTCATTTTGTTCAATGGCCGGCGGCTAAAAGCGGTGTTTAGCTCTCCGGGCGACTTGTTTATGTTGTTCTGTCTTTATTGCGTTTAATGCTGGCAGCTTAAGAATTTACGCACGTTTTGCCTTGCCAGCCGGGCGCAGATGGTATAAAAAATCAACCAGCCGGAAGGGTCGCCCCTCGGCATGAGTTCGCATTCGCGTGTCTTTTGCCATCGTCCAGGCCATGCGATTATATGTAAATGGCTATATTGGCGAGCCTATTAGCCAAGTGTAGTACTTGTAAGTCAGGCATGCACAGTTCAAGGCGCAGTTTGTATGCGAAATTTAAAGGAGCATGACCCTATTTAGTCATATGTCTGCATAATCTATTGATGTAAATTCATCAGAAATGTCCTGAGGCTTAGTCACTTGCAAGTATTAAAAATAAATAATATTAAATAAAATAAAAAAAAAATATATATATATATAATTTTTTTTTATTTTATTTTTTTTTTTTTAAACATCTTTCAATATTTTATTTGCAATATAATTTCAATTAAAATTGTCTAGATAAAGTTATAATATACCACTTTTCATTTTATAGATTTAATTGGATCTGCCTGCACCTTTAATTGTATTTATTTTATATCTTTTTTTTTAGAGATTTGCTTCTAAATGTATAAAATTTATTTTAAGACATATTTTGAGTTTTATCAAACAATTATGAGCTTCGACATTAAGAGCTTATGCAATTTTTGGAGATTTAATTAATAATTCTATCGATGTGAATGCATTCTAAATGCCCTAATGATAATAAATAATATTAATATTTTTAAATAAAGAAAAAAAAATTAAAATAACATTTAAAAAAACATATTTAAATATATTTTCTTTTTTAAATAAAATATTCCATTAAAATTTTCTAGCAGAAGTTTAAATAATCTTATTAAATATGAATTTATTTTTCTTAAAGGAATTAAATATTCGCATTAATATTAATATTTTTATAGGTATAGACATTTTCTGATCTCCCACATCTGTAGCACTCTCATTTTGTACAGGGTGTTATTAGTTAAACTTCTCCTTAAAAGCCGAGTCCCTATTCAAATTGTCCTCATCTGTTCATGGGAATTACGTGTGAATAAATAAACTCAAA